GGCGTCCCCCGGCGCCAGCTCCTCAGCCCGGGGGGCCGGGTCTCCTGCCGGGCAAAGGCGCAGAGTCAGGGCGACCGGCGGCTCCGCGGAAGGCGGGGCGGGCGCAGGGCACGGCCGGGCAGGGGCAGGCGGGGTACCGGCTGTGTGACAGTTAGGAAGGGCAGCGCGGGGGCAGGCGCGGGGCCGGTTAGCGCCAGCGAACCGTTAGGGTGGGAGGAGGGTTGACTGTGGGCTTCCTCATCCCATGTCCCCTGCACAGCACAGTGCCTGGTGCACAGTAAGTGCCTAATAAATCGATGTGGGGGGGGCGGGGGAGAGGACAGTGGGGAGACCCGTGAATGCGCAGGAGGGCAGACTGAGGGGTGAACGGTGGGTGGGTGGCTCAGCTGACTGTATGATCTAGGACGGGGCGGGCAGGCGTCTGAGTGGGTACCCGGGTAGACGGACAGGTCGGTGTGTGGGGATGGGTAAGCTGCTCTGCGGAACTGCAGGGAGATAAGCAACCTTTGTTTCTGTTTTACACTAGGACCGGCCTAATAAAAATAACAATGGCTACCACCTGTAGAGCTCTGCCTGTGTGCCCGGCAGTGCGGAGCACATCACGAGCAGCAGCTCCTCTCGGCCTCACAACCCTGCGAGGGCGGGTCTAATGCTATTACTCCGGATTATGGACGGGAGGGCAGTCTCAGAGGCCTTCCCTGCCCTGCTCGCTGCCCCAGACCAGCCTCCTGCAGGAAGTGTTCTGGAATTCCCACCCTCTCTGCCCTCTTCTCGGAGTCCCACGGGCATCCTCGGTTCTTTACGGTCGTCCCTGTTCGTCTCCTTCCCTGACGGTGTTCATTGGAACGGGACCTGTTTCCCCTGAGACCTCAGCTCCCAAGCCAGAAACAGGTTCCTCCTTTCCCTGTGGCCCTCCATCCTGCTGCCTCCGAGAGCGACCTCAGAGACGACCCTCAGGCTCCTCTGTCCTGTCCACGCCACAGCCCTGCCCGAGATCAGCCCCGCCCTCTCCCACCTGCCAGACTGCACTTGTCTGCCGGCACCTGGTTCCAGGCCTGCTCCAGAAACACCTTCTTGCCTCTGGTGGACAGTGCTGGTTTCTGCCCTCCCCGGTCTGTGCCCCTTTCTTTGACCAGGTTCAACCTGGTTTCCCTTCCTCACCCCAGTGCGAGTGGTCTGCACGGAGCCGGCTCCAGCCCCAGCTCCCAGGGGGAGGGTGCCAGGCCTGGCTAATCAGAACGGAGGCCACACGCCCCGGCCACAGCAACCAGATTGGGAAGAGCATGACCCAATCGGAGCCAACAAGACATGACTCTGGGCCTTCGTGCACCTGCCGAGGGCAGGACCTAGCCGAGAAATTGGGTGCAAAGGCACTGGGGTCAGACTGCCTGGGCGCCATCCTGGCTTGCTGGCACCTGATCTTGAGTGAGTTATTTCATTTCTCTGTGCCTGGGTTTCTGCAGCTACAAAATGGGGATGACAATGGCGTGTATCTCCAGGGGCTGCCGTGGGATTTCAGTGACCACAGAACCACACCTGGCGCACACCAGCAGCCGGGACGCGTCACCGGGTGTTCGCTGTCCTGTCTGAACCCCCACTGGCTGTGCCCTCCAGGGTGGGGGCCTGAGTCATCTCCAGCCTGGTGCCCAATGCAGGGCCGGGCACACAACAGGGATGCCAGGGATGTTCACTGAACATGACAGGCAAGAGGGGGATCCCCCCTCAGGCTGGGAGAAGAGAGGGGTGTGGGAAAGGGGGTGGGCTGCTCACCTAATGGAACCATCCCACCGACTTCCTTTCCAGCGCTGACCCCGGAGCCTTCTGTCACATCCCGAGGGGCCTTCATGGCTGGTCCCTGAAATGAGAGATACCACATTCCGAACTGAGAACCCTGAGTGATAGCTTCTGTTTTATCCCCGTCCCCACCACCTTCAGCCAGTCATCGAGGCCCGTCACCTGCTCTGGGGGAAGCTGGCTGCCCAGCCGGAAGATGCTCAGCCACCCACGGTGAGGCCCACGTGGCGAGGAGCTGAGGCGCCTCCAACCAGCATGTGAGGGAGCATCTCGGAGGCAGCTCCTCCAGCCCTGGACCAGCCTTTGCGTGACCACAGCCCCGGTGACATCTTCACTGCAGCTATGTTTGGGCCAGATCCGCCCCACATTCCTGACCCAAAGAAACTGCGTGAGATGATGTTTATTGTCTTAACTAAGCCTGGGGTGATTTGTTACACACAACAGATAACTGATACGCCTGCTTTAAATCTTACTTGAGCTTCTTACTGCCCCTTGCAAACTCCTTGACAAGATACAGAAGAAAAACACATAAGCGACTTGTAACTGAGAAAAAAATCAAGTAGGTTCAGAATGGAACTCTTCCAGCTCAAACGGTGGACAGCTCCTGAGCGGGACAGCACCAGCCAGGAAGACGAAGGCTAAAGAAAAAGCTTCAGATCCACCTGGTTCCTTTACGCTCTTGTCATTGTTCCTCAAGCTCCTGCCCCCAGGGGAAAGACCGGAATTCTTCTGGGGCAGATGAAGGAGCGCTGACTCACGACTTACACGCACCCAGCCCCCTTTCTCATCTTTCACCAGCCCCCTTTCTCATCTTTCACTTGTTTCAAATGCTTTTGAAGGAAAGCAACCATTAAGGTGAAATTAGCGACGAAATTAGCAGGGAGCTTCCAGAGCCTTCCACAGAAGCACGGTGCTTGGGATCTACAGATGCTCACTTTGTCTGTTGGTGGCAGGATGGATAACTTGCATGGTCACCTCTCCACTCGGGGAGACTGTGAATCGATTCCTGACCACTGCTGCAGCTCAGGGCCGTCCTCTGCACCCCTGCCCTGGCCCCGCCACCCCCACCAGCCCCACCTCTGGCCGGGTCCCTGGCCGGAACTGCAAGTCCACGCCACATAAGCAGCTTACGATGTTCTGGGCATGCCAGGCTCTGTCAAACGTCCACTCTTTTGCACACGCTGTTCCCTCTGCCTGGAACACCCTCTGCCATCCCCTTTGCCCTGTCTACCTCCTGCATATCCTTCGTATGCTTCGGAAACTGACTGAGACCCCGTCTCTGCAACCTCATCCTGTCCCACTGCATTTTTTAACAGCTATATTGAGATGTCATTCATACACCACAGAATTCACCCACTTAAAATAAAATTCTTAAATACGTTTTTTTTTTTTTTTTTTTTCCTGCTCAGGAAGATTCGCCCTGGGCTAACATCTGTGCCAATCTTCCTCTTAAAATACAATTAAATGGTTTTTAGTATATTCAGAGTTGTGCAACCATCACCACAATCCATTTTAGAGTATTTGCATCACCCCCAAAATAAATCTTGAGCCATTAGCGGTCACTCCCCTTCCCCTTCCCCCAGCCCCTGGGAACCACTAACGTACTTTCTGTCTCTATGGATTTGCCTATTCCGGACACCTCGTATAAAGGAAATCATGCAACACATGGTCCTCTGGTTTCTTTCACTTGTTTCACATAACGTCTTCGATGTTCATCCAAGCTGTCGTGTGTGTCAGCACTTCATCCTTTTTATGGCTGAGTACTATTCCACTGTACGACCGTTCCACATTTTGTTGATCCACTCCCCGACTGGCAGATGTGTGGGCTGTCTCCACTTTTTGGCTATTCTGAGTGCTGCCACACTGCTGTCACTCAGACCATACGACGTACGAGTCTCGTGTGGAGGTGTCTTCATCTCTCTGGGGTGGACGCCCAGGAGTGGGACTGCAGGCTCACATGGTAGCTGTTTAAGCCTCTGGGGACCTGCAGGGTGTTATCCACCACGTTGGAAGAGGGTTCTGACTCCCGGTCCCTCTGACAGACGCTGAGCAAGTGAACAGATGGGCGGGTGAAAGGGTCAGTCTGTCTTCGCTCTGATCCATCAGGAAACGTTCCCTGAAGAGGAGGATCAAGATATGGGAGAGTCGAAGTGTGGGGCAGGGGTTTGGCATGAGGCCAACCAGGTCCCAGGGTGCTGCACCCACAGGCCTGCTCGTGGGATCCCGAGCGAGTTGCTTCCCAGCTGGTGAAGCTCAGAGGGGCTCTGCACCCAGTCTCTCCTGAGTCCCCCCTCGGACTGGTGGATGCTGAGTGGGTGGCATGGAGTGCGCCCCAGCTCCCTGATCCTTAGTGGGCTCCCGTGACCTGGGTGAGGTTGGCCCAGGTGCGGGCAGGGCGGGAGCAGGACGCATGCCCGGGGCCTGCCATCCCGGCCTCAGCTGCACCCAGTCAGCACGCCCGGGGCTGGGGACCAGGAAGCAGCACTGCCGGTTTCTCCTGGTGATTCCAGGGCAAATAAAAGCCCAAGACCTTCACCCCCTGGGGGACCCATGGGCGTCCTGCGGGCACTCTGGTTTGGGGTCACAGACACAGGATGCTGGACTGTGCAGAGGACAAGCACCGTCCACGGGAAGATATCCACGCAGAGCGGCCACGGGGCTGAGGGTGCTGGGCTAGGTGTCCGGGGCTCAGGGATTAGAAGCAGAAATCCAGAGCCACAGTAGTTTCTAATCCCCCTGCTGCCCCTCAACGAGCTGTGTGACCTTGGGCAAGTCGCTTGACTTCTCCGAGCCTCAGTTATCTTCATGTGTGAAGCAGGATAACAGTAACCAGTACCGACCCCTCAGGACCATGTGGCCTGGTTGAGATGCTGTGTTTTGTGCACTAAACGGTCTGTCGTGCCCAAAGACAGGTCTAGCCTTTGCCCTCAGCTCCTGGGGGGTAACGTTCAAGCCTCTGTAATATCCTGCCCGATAAGAGTGTCTCTGCTTTCCTGGGGGCCTGGGGCCCCCAGATAGGCCGTGCTAACAATGGGATTGTGGGGGGGGCTTTCAGGCACGCTGCATCCACTTTACCTCCAGAGGGCCCGGAGGCTAATGTCCACCATGGGGCGGTCAGCTTTCTACATAGTCAACCTCCAATAAAAAACCCTGGACACCAGGCTCCGGAGCCTCCCTGGTTAGTAATATCCAGTGCTGACCACACGGGCCCCCGGAAGCTCCCTGCGCCCCTCCCTCTGCTGAGGGAATCGTGTCCTTTCACTGGGCGGAACCATAACCCGAGGACAGCAGCTCTCAGCGAGTTCTGAGTCCTTCTCGTGAATTACTGAACCCGAGGGTGGTCCTGGGGACCCCCGAACTTCCAGCTGGTGTCAAAGTGAGGGTGGTCTTCGGGAGCCTGGTCTGCAGCAGTGCCCGTCCACGGCAGCTGAGACCGGAGGGTTCAAGTTGGAACTCAGTCTTGGCGCTCACTCACAGATTCGACAGCCTCACCTCATGTCTCTCAGGCCCTCTGCCGGGCACTGAGCAACAGCGGCACGGAGCCCAGCCCTCAGCCAGGGCCACACCACCGAGGAATAGCTGAACAGCTGCCTGAGGGGCTGCGATGGGGAATGACGGGGACCCTGAGAAGGGCTTGCAAGGCTGAGAGTGGTCTAGCAGCGTTCCCACCCTATCAGCCCACCTTTGCCCTGTCCCCTCTTCCCCAGCCCCACTCTCTCTACAACCATCGCACACATCTGCTCCAACAGGTTAGTGAAGAAATGAAGGGAGAGGTGAGGTCACGTCTGAGGCGAGTCTGGGAAGAGCCAGGGAGTCAGGGAGGTGCTGGAGGTCGGAGTAGAGGGAGCGAGAGCAGAAGGTGTCAGGAGGCAGCAGGACTGGCTGGGCCACATCACGCAGGCCTCCCAGGCCACATGAGGAGGTGGGACTGTTTTCTCTGTAGATTCAAGGTCTTTCTGACCCGACTCCTACAGACCTCTCAGCTTCCTGGCCTCCAGGAGGCCCACCTCCACCTCCCCCGGCCAACCACAGGCCTCGCTCACCTCCGCATGTTCTAGCCCCTGCCTCGTCCACCACAGCCAGGAAGGGACTTCTCTCAGCCCCTAGAACCTGAGAAGAGTCCTTAGAACCATGGAGACTCGCTTGTTGCTAGTGGGATCGCCAAATGGCACGGCCAGTTCGGAAAGCAGTTTCTTATAAATGAAATACACTTGCCGCGGAACCCAGCCACCCGCTACTGGGTGTCCACCCTGGATAAACAAAAGCTTGTGTGCACAGACACCTCTGCCCGGAGAGTGAGAGCAGCTCCATTCAGTCACCAAACACTGGAGACCACATGTCCTCCATGGGGAAGGAGACACAAGCCGTGCCGCACCCGGGCCGGGCTGCAGGATTCTCCACAGTGAAAAGGAACCGACTGTGGACACAAGAGGTGACACGGGCGAATCTCAGAGGCACCGTGCTGAGCGAAAGAGCTGGTCCCAAAGGTTGCACACTGAGTCCACGGACAACATTCCATGAAGACGGGGTGGGGTGACTGAGGGGCGACTCGAGGGAGCGCTTTGGGGTGACAGCACAGTTCCCCATCCCGGCTGTGGCGGTGGTTACAAGCACGTGTCGTGTTAAAAACGCAAAGAGCTGTACATCCTAAAAAGAGTTAAAACAACACTGAAGCCGAGGCCCCTCCTGCCATGAGCATGGACTCAGACGCTGAGTGTGGGGTCTGGGCACCAGTGGTTTTTAAAGCTCCCGGGTGTTGTAACATGCAGAGGGGTCGCGAACACCGCCTCACACCCGCTCATGCGCCTGCACCAGGCTGTCCTCATCTCTCTCCTTCCTCGGCACGTCAGCGAAAGCTTGGCTGGGGCCAGCAAGGACCCAGAGACCAGAGAAACCCTAATGGAGGCGGCCTCTCCCAGCCTTCAGCTCCTGTGCACACCACACACTTGGAGCTCAGCGGCATAGCGCCGGGTTATTATTGCTCTTTTCTACTTCTACTTAAAATACTTTTATATCATTACCAGAAATGGAAAAACAGTATTAGAGAGAGATGCCATGGAAAATTCGACACAGTGACACAAAACAGTGTCCCTCCAGTCTACCAATCCCCCGGAAGGTCCGAGCCCAGGCCTGCTCTGACTGCACAGGGACAGAAGCGAAGGTGAGAGGCGATGAGGACACCCCGGCAGCAGGCGGGAGCTGCTCCTGAAGCAGCCAGGGGAGGAACGGGAGCCATCCAACCCCACGCCGATTCTAACGCTGAGTTCCCACACCCCTTCCCATGTGTCCTGCATCTATCCGCCTTGTGGGAGACAGAACAAGGCAGCCCCCAAGGACCCGCATGTCCTGATCTCCAGAACTTGTGACTGTGGGACCTCACGTGGCGAAACGGACGGGACTTTGCAGATGTGATTAAGGATCCTGACATGGGAGATGATGCTAGATTACCCAGATGTCATCACGAGGGCCCAATGTCATCACGAAGGTCTTTTTAAGTGAAAGACAGAGATAAAAGGGTCAAAGTCAGAGGAGGGGATGTGATCACAGAAGCAGAGGTCAGAGTGACATGCTTTCAAGACGGAGGAAGGGACCACGAGCCAAGGAACACGGGTGCCTCTAGAAGCTGGAAAAGGCAAGGGAATGGACCCTCCCCTGGAGCCTCCAGGAGGAGCCAGCCCTGCCAACACCTCGGTTTTAGCCCAGTGAGACCCACTTCGGACTTCTGACCTCCAGACCTCTAAGAGAATAAATCCGTGTTGTTTTAAGGCACCAAGTTTGTGGTGATTTGTTACAGCAGCGAGAGGAAACTCATACGAACGACTCTGGGAAACAATGACCTGGAGAGGCATCCCAGGCAGCAGAGTGTGTGAGGAGGCGGCCGTGAGGGGAGGAAATCAAGGGGTGAGCCACGTCCCAGGACGTGAGAGGGGGGAGTGTTTCAGGGGAGCCGGAACTGGAGAGGGGCACGCTAGGTGAGAAGAGAGACAGAGACTGCTGGATTGGGCAATGCAGGCCACTAGCGGCCTCCACGGTAACTGTCCTCTCGGAGGAAGGGTGGACACCGTGCTAGAGGGGCTGAGGGTCTGCTCTCTGCCTCACGGGGGCACTGCCTTCTCCAGAGCTGCGTCCCCAGCACCCGCAGGTGCACCATAGGCATTCGTGGTGAACATGTCTTTCCGACTCCTCACCCCCACCCTCTGCCTGCCTCCAACCTCGTGTTGCTTACACACCCCCCTCACTCACTAGCCTCTCCACCCACCCCAGGGCCTTTGCACTGGCTGCTCCTGTGGCCCAGTCACTCTTCTCTCGGGTCTCTGCATGGCTGGCCGCTGCTCATCGTCAGCCATGAGGCTGCCGAGCACTCGAAATGTGACGAGCCACGGGTGGAAACGGTAATCACTGGGATACACTGAGTTCAATAAGGCCAGATATTCAAACTAAATCCACCTGTTTCTTTTTACCTTTTTTTTCCCCGTGACTACTTGAACGTTTAGGATTACAGATGTGGCTCATGTCATATTTCTCATGGAGAGCGCTGCTCTAAACCAGGGGTCAGTAGGCTTTTCCTGGAAAGGGCCAGAAAGTAAAGGTTTTCGGCTCTGCAGGCCATCTGGTCTGCGTCTGACTGCTCAGCTCTGCCCTGTGGTGGAAGTGGCTACAGGTAATGCAGAAACGAACGGCATGGCTGTGCACCCCCCAAAGTTCTGTCACGCTCTACAGGAACTAGGGGTGGGCTGGGTTTGGGGCACAGGCTGCAGACAGCTGACCCCTGGTGTAAAGAATTTAACCTCCCCAAAGAGAGGTCTGCCCTCAACTCCTGGGAGGCGACCTCGAAGCCCTTGGTGTGTCCTGCCTGGCAGAGCATGTGTCTTCACTGTGACAAACCATAACCCTGAGCACGGTGGCTTCCAGTGAGTCCTGAGTGCTGCTACGGAATTGTCAAAACTGAGGGTGGTCTTGGGGCCCCAAACTTGCAATGAATGTCAGAAGGAAGGCATCTTGTGCACTGCACTGCTGTCCAGCTCTCACACCTGCTCTAAAGCACCCCACTCTCGACCACAGCCTGTTCTCAGGGTTCCGTGGTCCTTGTTTCATCTGTCTGCTTCTGTGTGGAGCATCATTCCCACAGCTGAGGACCAGCGGCCTCCAGAGAGCAGACGGGAAGGCCGCAAGGGGCAGGCCTGTCTCCAACCACGCAGAGGGACCACGGGGAGGGACCACGGGGAGGGACCACATGCAGGCACCATGCGGAGGGACCACAGGGAGGGACCACGTGCAGGCACCATGTGGAGGCACCACAGGGA